TATTTGTTAAATGACACTCACTACTTAGCTTTCTAAGAGAGACAGAGAACAAAAGGAACACAAGGAAAATATGAATTAATTGCTAATCCCTTGTACCTTTTTTTCCAAATATTTCCTGTCACTGCTAAAGAATATATTACCTTTCCAAACACTGAAGTTAGGAGGAACATTATAATTGGATTGTAGTTTACTTAGGATTTTCATGTTAGGGGTTACAAAAGCTTGGTGATTGGTTCCAATAGGCTCCCCCAAACACCAGACAACTTAATCTTGAGTCAGTCTCTCTTAAGCCACAACTTCCACCTCTCACTCAGCTGTACAAACTCTTAATTCACCAGACTAGGATACAAAACTAAAATTAAGAGCAGCCCAAGCTCCAGAGGGAAAGTATTGCTGGTGTGTTTGGGGCATTAAGTGTTTAATAAATTGCTGCAGTGGCCCTAAGAGATCGGGAACCACTTGTTTTGTTATAGAGAGGAGAGGTGGAGGCCTTCATGTAAACTGATAATTTAACTTGGCCATGATTAATGCTAGTAAAATGCTGAAATATATTTAATGTTATTTAGTAAAAATAGATGGCTTCTTGGGGATTTACAACAGTACCTCACCAATTCCCCTTCAAACAATCACTAAGCAGGAAAAGTTCCAAACAGGGATGCATGAGTTAATTACATCATGAGGGGACAGAGCAGGACCATATGGAAGTAGAATACGGCCCCATATGTCATCTAGTCCGCTTCAGCTCTCATATACTTCTATTTCCAAGATCTCCTCAATGGAATAAACGCTTAGGCTACATCTACACTACACTACACCAATTCTGCATAAGAGTTCTTGTGCAAAAGTTCTTGCACAAGAGAGCGTCCACACTGCCATGTGCTATTGCAGAAGAGATGTGCTTTTGCGCAAGAGCCTCCATGGCAGTGTGGATGCTCTCTTGCACAAGAAAGCTCTGATGGCCATTTTAGCCATAGGGGTTTCTTGTGCAAGAAATTCATGTTGCCTGTCTACACTGTCTTCTTGTGGAAGAACTCCTGCGCAAGAGGGCTTATTCCTCGTGGGGAGAGGAATAACTCTTCTGGAAGAAGCCCTGTTTTGTTACTTGCTCAAGTACACACGTGCAGTGTTCTTGTGCAAAAAACCTGCAGTGTAGACATAGCCTATATAGATTTCATGACTATCCTGGAGAACTTTATTCTGATGTCCGCAGGCAGGAGCAGAGAAAGTCGCCTCAGCTCATCTGGACGGGTGGGAAAGAGAGCAGGGATTCCCACTAGCAGAGCAGCCCTAGGGGCTCGGGGGAGGGGGAGTCCCAGGGGAGCGTAGTCACAGGCCCAAGCACGCAGCGGGCTGGGAGCAAAGGGACGCCGGT